TTTTAAGTCTTTTGATTGCATCTCTCCATTGAACTGCATCTCTACCACCCAAAAAAGAACCAAAAACTTCAAGAGCTAAGCGAAGACCATCAGCTTATTTCACTACACGTTTAGAAAGCTCAATCAAATCATTTTCGGGCATTGTTTCACTATCGAAAGCTTTCAAATTGAAAAGATGAAGTGCTTCATTCTCATTCAGTGTTGTAGGCTTATACACATCATCCACTCTATAAGATCGGAGCAAATGTTCATCTCTTGTTATTACGATGATTCTACTCCCTAAACCGAACCACTCACGCTTTCCAACCAAGCATTTTAGGTGTTGTATATTATCAACTTCATCAATAACAACAAAAACCTTCTTGTGAGATAGCCTGTGACTAATCATGGCATTCCCTTCATGAACATTGCATAAATTGAAACCTTCGTCCAACCAGAGTTCGAAAGTTGTTTCTGTAAAGAAACGAGTCCACATTTTTCTGAAACTTCTCGAACATCAGCAAGCAAGCTTTTACTTTCAAAACAAAGTGACATTTGAGAATAAACAACTCTTGCAAGAGTAGTTTTACCAATGCCCGCCCATGCCTCAAATTTCAATAAACACGGACATCTTTTTCACCAAGTCTATTTTCGAATGCAACTCTTCCAAACGTGAATTAATTCCAATTAACTCATCATGAACTATCGGATATGTTTGACATAATTTTGCGATATCTTTTTAACAATGTTTCCAATAAATTCTGCTTCATGTCTTCAAACACAGAAAGAGAAATTAAAATTTAGTTTCTCTTAAGAAATTAAATGCTAATGAAAATGATTATAATGATAAATGAGCCTAGAATCAAAGAGTCAAAAAATAAAAAGCACAATAATCTTTTATTAAATAAATTTAGTGTACCTTTAAAGTAGACTTGGTCATAGATTGAGCTATAAGATTGACCTGCAGTTCAAGTCTATCTCAGATCAAGCCTTGATCATGAATTTTTAAGTTTGAACTCGACCCAAATCATTATTGAATGAATAAGAATTATTTTTATTTAAATTTAATTTTAAAACATATAAAATATTATGATAAAGATGATCTTTTCCAAAACTCATGGATAGGTCTAGTTAAAAGCCCCTTGTCTATCGTTGTACTTATAGCCTTAGTAACTGAAATTATTACCAAATGTATTTTAAGTTTATAAGAAATTATTTATGATTTTATTTTTCGTAAATGGTTAATATATAAATTATAACTGGCAATCTCATCAAAAAGAAATTTCTTAATACATATTTTTTCTTTTTATTATTTCAAACAAAACATGAAACATGGTGGTCATTTTATTTTTAAGAGACAAGATTCTATTCCTAATACAGTTTGAGATGAAAAACAGAGCAGGAATAAGAATGAAGTCTATGTTTTTTAAATGAAATTTATTAAAAATGTTTTTTAAAGTAGATAACATGTAATGCAAAAAAGAAGAAAAATCAAATTTGTGGAGATTGAAAACGAAAACTAGACTAGAAAAGAATGAGTTACCTGTTTTTTAAATGCCATCCTTTGATATTAGCCACTTCAGTTAAAGCAATTCGCCACTTTTGGATCTTGTCTTTAGTTTCCTTGTATGTCTCTTCATGTTTGGCAAAGGCTTCAGCAACTTTTCCGGTTTGTTTTCCCAAATCAGATGGATCCACATCATAAAAAAAGATTGGGAAAATTTTATGCCCCTCTTTTTTTTTTTGTTCAACAATCTCAACAAGCTCTTCCAAGCAAAAACTTGGAAAAGCATATGTTTTTGAGAAAACGATTAGTGAACACCATGATTCTTGAATTGCTTCCAAGAGTTCTTGTAAGATTTCTTCCCTAGGCTCAAGCCTTGGATCATCCATGAAAGTGACTATTCCCTTCTTTATTAAAGCATCATGTAGATGATAAGTGATATTTGTGCGGGTATCTTCACCTCTAAAACTCAAGAAAAAATCATATTTATGTGCAGAAGAAGAAGAAGAAGAAGGAGGAGGAGAAGAGGAAGATGGTAACGATAACATGAGGAGGAGGCGGAAGGGGAAGATATCTCAAGTTGGTGTTTGAGACTGTTCCTTTTGCCTCTATTTGTGAAGAAGTATTTTAGATCACGGATATGCTATGAATCTTTCCAGGAAGAATCGAGGAAAATGAGTGGAGTTTACTACTGTTTATGAAGAAGTAGACAGTGCAGTGACCAACAAAGTCTTCTCTAAAGAAAAAGAAAAAGACTCAAGCAACACATTTTTACAGCAATTCAAAAT